GTCTAGGTTATGGAAACATCTCTCCAAAGACACCGTGGGGTCAGTTCTTCTGTATCTGTTATACAGTGGTGGGCATTCCCTTGTTTGGATTTCTGTTGGGTGCCGTAGGAGACCGTCTGGGGACGTCACTGAGGAACGCCACTGCTAAAGTTGAAGCTCTTTTATGGGTAAAAAATTATGATGAAGACAAACATAACCTCACAAGACAATCATTAATCAATATCATTGTAGTTTTTCTATAAACTGTCTTTCATGGCTCTTATACATCAAGGTGCTGTAAACCTTTGTCACAAAGTTTCATTTCAATTCATTTCAAAGTTTCATTTCATTTTCTTCAGTTTTCTTTATCTTCTCCATTCAGAAGTGGAAGGTGAGCCCAACCATCGTGCGTGTCATCACCGCTGTGCTGTCCATCCTGCTGGGCTGTGTTCTGTTCATCTTTGTGCCAATTTTAGTCTTCCAGAAAGTTGAAGATTGGTCTCTGCTAGAATCCGCCTACTTTGTGGTCATCACCCTCACAACAGTGGGCTTTGGAGACTATGTTGCAGGTACCACTGGGTGAAATCTTGAAATGTTTCATCACTTGCAACAGTTTAATAAATAGCTTGCATTTTATTTCGAGATCAAATTGATTGAAACTGAGATTTAAACCTGTAAGCATTTGTCTTGTCTCTTGTCTTCTTGCTCAAGAAGATGTTAACCCTCAGCGAAGACCTCATTTAACCTTGGCTCGTTCTTCCATGAAATGTAACATTAAAAAACAAACCACTGCAGTCATCTTGTGGTGGGCTTCGTGGTGGGACCATTTTGGTTTGGGTTGCCAGAACTGAAACTACAAAGCGACTTGCAATGCTAAATACCTTACCAAGAAACACACTTAAAGGAATAGTTCACCCAAAAATCTGTCATCATCCACTCACCCTCATGTTGTTCCAAACGTGTATGACTTATGCGGAACACAAAACAAAAATTCTGAAGAATATTTCAGCTGTTGTACATATTACGAAAGTAAATGGATCCAAAAACATTCGGCAAAAAACGCAAAAAAAAGCACACAAAGGTAGCGTTCAATTAAAGGGATAGTTCACCCAAAAATGAAAATTCTGTCATTAATTGCTCACCCTCATGTGGTTCCAAACCCGTAAGACCTTTGTTCATCTTTGGAACACAAATTAAGATATTTTTGATGAAATCCGAGGGCTTTCTGACCCTGAGTAGACAGCAATGCAACTGACACGTTCAAGGCCTAGAAAGGTAGTAAGGACATCGTTAAAATAGTCCATGTGACATCAGTGGTTCAACCTTAATTTTATGAAGCTACGAGAATACTTTTTGTGTGCAAAGAAAACAAAAACAGCAACTTTATTTAACATTTTTTTTCTCTTTCTTGTCGGTCTTCGACACGTTCACAACAGTACTATAACACATGGGTGTGCATTCCTCTGCTTGTAAACAAGGTGTTCTACGCCAGAACGCCGACTGCTGCATCAGCAGCACCAAACATGTGTCATGGTACTCTCATGGATGTGCAGCATAGACTGACACGGAAGAGAAGAAATTGTTGAATAAAGTCATTATTTTTGTTTTCTTTGCACACAAAAAGTATTCTCGTAGCTTCATAAAATTACGGTTGAACCACACACAGATCACATGGACTATTTTAATGATGTCCTTGCTACCTTTCTGGGCCTTGAACGTGTCAGTTGCGTTGCTGTCTATGAAAGGTCAGAAAGCTCTCAGATTTCATCAAAAATATATTCATTTGTGTTCCAAAGATGAACGAAGGTCTTACAGGTTTGGAACAACTTGAGGGTGAGTAACTGACAAAATTTTCATTTTTGAGTGAACTATCCCTTTAACCCATACAACTTGACTGGTATATTCCAAGATATCTGTATCCAGATTATCATTTTGTTTGATGAATAGATCAAAATAAGCTTTTATTCACTTGCAAATCAAATCAAAAACTTGATCAACACACATATACAGACTACAACCAATATGCCGACTCAAACCTCAAACGTCAAATGCTGTAAAACCTTATTGGTTCTTGTCCAAACTTTTGAGGTTTGTCTCACCATTTTTCTCTTTCTATGCATGAATGTTTTCATTTCATTTCACAGTGAATAAAGGCTTAAACTGAATTAATTTAATGCTACATTTATGCCCTTCTTGGAGCTTGAAAACTTTGGGTCCCGTTGACTTTCATCATATGGACAAAAACAAATGTAACATCGAATATCTTTTGTGTTCGACAGAAGAACTAAAGTCAAACAATTTTGGAACCACATGAGGGTGAGTAAATGACGACAGAACTTTCATTTTTGGGTGAACTGTAACTTTAATTTGAATAAATTACTCTTTATGTGTTTTGTGCATTTCTTGTTGTCCATCAGGTGATAGCGGTGATGCAGGTCAAGATCATTGGTACAAGCCTCTGGTGTGGTTCTGGATTTTGTTTGGATTGGCCTACTTTGTGTCCATTCTTTCCATGATTGGGAACTGGATCCTGGTTCTTATCAAAAAAACCCGAGCTGAGGTAGGCCAATGATTAAATTAGGATATCTAATAAATTTTTTTACAATCAAATGTCTTATGGAGTTTATGAATAAGGTCAGTGCCTGGTCAGACTCCCTGGTCAAACTCAACATTGCAACTCAAATGGGATTTTTAACTTCTCTCTCAATTCCCGCCCCTTCTATATTTCATGATAACCTTCCTTCCATTTTTCTTTATACCTGTAATTCATCACCACAACTCCTATTAACCTAAAATCTGTATCAAATTTCAATCATTCTGTTTATGGTGACATACAAATCTCTCCATAACTCTAAAGCCTTCCCATTTCTCCTGCCCTACTTTCTGCTCTCAGATGGAGGGGTTGAGAGCACATGCCTCAGACTTTACTCAGAACATCCAGAACATGTCTGTGGATTTCCACATGTCCGGAAAATTTGAAGATCCTTTCAAGCGCACCAGGCGAAAGCGGCGTCACAGGCGCCACAGACACAATGGCAGTCAGGGTAGAACCGGAGAGGACGGAAAAGAGGAGAATGAATCCGAATCTGACTCCTACTCGGGTTCATCAGATGAGTCGGAAAGCAGCTCTGAGTCCGAATCGGAGGTGACCCAAACAGAACGTGTCCCAGAGGGAGGGGGTAGTGACAAGGGCAAAGATTTAGAGAAAGAGGAAAAACTCCACACCATGCCCAAAGATCCCATCCTCTCTCAGCCCTTGGATTACTTTGGGGAAAATCTTGCATACATCGACGAGTCTTCAGATGCAGTGAGTGGGAAGATTCACCTGGACCCCCTGCTGGATGTACCAGAATCGAACCCAGCTTCTACAGACAGGCCCAAAAAGAGACGTCAAAGAAGACACTTGAGAAGGGATCAACAGAAACCCAAGACCCCCAAAACAAGTCCAAACGAACCAGAGAATAAAGCGCCAAATGGAGACATTAGGCAGAAAGATCCACCTACGCCAAAGCTGTGAGTGTCAGGGTGTTCATGGGGTTTGTAGCTCCTCAGAAAAGCCTCTTTGGAATATAGTTTTGCAACTTTGCTAGCTTTAGGATATGCTGTGCTCCACTGGGAAGGCACCTGGCATTATTCTCAGATTTTACTGGGACGAAATAAGAAACTATCCATGTGCCTAAAATGAAAGGGGGTTGCGGGAGTAGAATCAGGTGTAGTCAAATCTTGGACCCCTCAGCATGAGTGAGAACTTTTATTGGGTAAACACTCAGATAGCGGCCTGATGTGCAGGAAGGCCACAGTGATCAGACACTTAGTGCCATCTACTGGACGTTCACTGTACATGACTGGCTCACTTGTTTATGGATACACTGACCATCAATGAATGTTTCATTCTGTGTGTCTTTCGCTTCTTTTCTAACGTCAAAATAATAAAGGAATGACACCTTGATACTAATGTTACTAATCCAACTCAACTGATGTTTACTGCTTGAGTTCATCAAACTCCTGTTCCTGCTTCAAGTGAAAAAAGAGGTACTGGTAATTGCGTCTTCATTTCTCATGACTACGATTTTACGTCTCACAGTTGTAATTTCACTTTTAGTAATTGTTACTTTCTCTCATGATTTCTCATTCTTGCAAATTTATATATAGCAAACGACACTTCATATCTCACAATATGAATATTTCTCATAATTGTGACTTTTAATCCTCTACAGTTGCCGCTTTTTCTTGTAATTGCGACATTATTCCCTGTAATTACGGCTTCCTATCTCACAATTGTCATATCCTATAATTCTGACTAAATCCCACAGTTGCTACTTTGTCTTGTAATTGGGAGTTTATTTCTTAGTATTGCAACTTAATTTTTTTCAGAGCTGCAAATTTATTTATTAAAATTGTGACTTGTTCTCATAATTTGGCATGATTTCATCTTTATATCTTACAATTGACACTTTGTCTGACAATGTAACTATTTTTCATAATTGACCTAAAAAGACCTTTATTTCTCATAATTGCAACTTTATTTCTGATAACTGCAACTTTTAATATTACACAATTGTCCCTTTATTATGCCATGTATCACGTAATTTCGATTTTAAATCTCATAGTCTTTTAATTGCTAATTTCTCGTAATTGTGACTTTACATATCACAAATGAAAGTCTTTTTTTCATAATTGCGACTTTATTTCTCTGAGTTTGTTTTTTTGTTTTGTTTTGTTTTTTACTTTGAGGCAGAAACAGGCATTCATAATGTGTAGATTCATCTCTAACAGGTAATCTGCGTCCACACGGCTCGTGAGTGTGGTGTGTGTATTTTCCCTTAACTCATTAAGTAACTCGAGAAGTTCAACCCTGCTAGGAAGGAACTAACACGTAACCACATCAGGACTCAATCGTAACAAGGTATATTGCAATTCAGCACTGCAGTCAGTCCATTACATGTATGTGGTCAAGTTACAGACAAAGGAGGAAGGAAAAATGTACTTTGGTTATACAGTACCGTAATCCTTTTATTTTGTCACAGTCTGTATTTCACTGGGGTTTGATCTTCTGTGTTCACTTTAAAGAGCTGTAGGTAAAAAAAATAATTTTACTTTGATTTGATCAGAACTGTAGTACTTTCGTAAAGTCATTACTGTCCAAAATGCTATTTAAAATAAGACTATATGTGTGTAATGTGCTCACCACACTCATAGAGCTTGTTGATCCTCTGAATGTCAATGTTAGACATTTCCTTTCTCTGTCCAATCTGCACTGAAGGGTTAGGAATTGGAGTGATGGTTTCCTTGCCATACTGTATGGCGAAGGCAGTCCTGCAGATGGAGAACGAGAGTGCCGTGAGGATGTACTTTATATATCTGTACTGGAGCATGATTTCAAAAGTAATATGGGTGAAGTTTTACCTTCCATAATGCATGATGGAGCTGTAGTCATAATGGGTATTCAGATTATTTGTGTCCTTCTTCTGAAAGTTGTATGCAGATGCTGTGCAAGGGCAAATGAGTGTTCATTGGTACTGAGGTTTTCATTACGATAAAATAAAAAGATTGTTTTTTAAAACACCTCTAGTATTTGAGATTTTTCCACATTCACACGCACACATACTCTGACCTTGTGGAATATTCTGCCAGTTGATCTGGACGTATTGGTCTCTGTCGCTCCTGGTGTGTTCGTGGTGGAACCCCAGAGAATGGAGGAGCTCATGCTCAATGATCCCGTGAGAAACACAGCCATCCACAGACAGAGACAACTGCTGTTTACCTCCAGATCTCCCTACAGCAGACGAGCAGCTGTAAAGAAAGATATATATTCAAAGAACTGAAATTCACAAAATCACCTGCAAATTACAGTGTACTGATATGTAAACTCAAATGTAGGCCTACACTAGAGTTCAAAAGTTAAAGGGGTCATATGATGCGATTTCAATTTTTCCTTTCTCTTTGAAGTGTTAAAAGCTCTTGGTGCATAAGGCCGCTCCTTCGTCGAATCCGCCGCCGTTCCTCACTCTAGCCGCAGGCCTCTGCTCACTCAAGCCCGCAGTGTGTGACGCTGTGTTTCGTCGTGAAAGCGAAACTACTTTGTTTGGCCTTCCAAAAATGGACAATGGGTTTTAATGTTTTTGAATCGTCGCTCCGGCCGGACAGGGAATCACAGTATGGTAAGGGGCGTAACATTTCTGTCATACGCTTGAGGTATTCGGTCAATCACAACACGCTGGATAGCTGGCCAATCAGAGCACACCTCGCATTTCAGAACGATGAGCTATGTAAAAATCGATGCGTTTCCGAAAGGCGGGGCATAGAGGAGAAACTTTCACACCCCTGTGGACGGTTGATTGTGGTTTCTCCCTCTGTGTCCTTATTTGGTTGTTCCTGTTCTAATCATTAGTTAATTACCCTCATTGTGCTCACCTGTCTGCCACCAATTATCCGTTCTTTTTTAGCAGCATCATATGACCCCTTTAACTTTTTTCAATGTTTTTGAAAGAAAACTCTTGAATTTATTTTATCAAACATACAATAAAATCAGCAATGTTGTGATGTATTATTACAATTTAAAATAACTGTTTTCTATTTTAAATATATTTTAAAATGTCATTTTGTTCTGTGATGGCAAAGCTGAATATTCAGCAGCATTACTCCAGTCTTTAGTGTCACATGATCATTGAGAAATAATTTTAATATGCTGATTTGCTGCTCAAGAAACATTTATTATTATTATTAATGTTGATAACAATAGTGCTGCTTAATACTTTTGTGAAAACGGTGATACATTTTTCAGAATTCTTTGATGAACAGTAAAACAGAAATCTGTATAATATTCTAAATGCCTTTACAGTCACTTTTAATCAATTTAATGCATCCTTGCTGAATAAAAGTATTAATTTCTTAATCACATCAAAAAATCTCAGTGACCCTAAACTTTTTAATGTTATTCAGGTATATTTGTTTATGAGTATATTCATTATTCAGGTGTGGTCAAGCTCACCCTACTAGATTTTCAATGCTGATGTAGTCCACTTGATTCTTTCGCAACACAAAACGGACGCAGGTTTTTGTAGCGATGCTCTTCATTGCATTTTCAATCACTGCCTTCTCATCATCATCTATCAAAAACACACAACACAAAAAATTATGTATGTTATTGAGTTTTGATGCAGATTTACATAAAAGTGAATTTATCGTCACTCACAGAAGTCAGAAGCAATGGTGTATGGCACTTCAACCTGTCCAGATGGGGATTTTGGCCATTTGCAGTAGTCATTCAAGCATTTCATGGCATTCCTTGTTTTGGGTAAGGCCATATCTCCCTCCAGAAGCATGTCACTGATCTCTGAATCATCAAAACAAAAAGAGTCAGAATATTTTCAATTGTTTAATTGCTTAGAGAAAGGTTAAAACTACTGTTAAATAATCAACTGCAAGCAAACATCATGATTAATATATCTAAATAGACATGCATGTGTTTTAACTGTGAAATATCATGTACAAACTATAAACGATATAAAAAATATGACTTATAGTTAACATTTTAATTACTATTAACCTATACCATTTTTTATAGTTTATATAAACTATGAATTATATAGTTACAAATTAACCATTGTATTAAATATATTTAATTATTTAATTTAATTAAATTTTGTATATTTATATATTAATATAATAAGTAAAAAGCATAAAAAATGCTTAACATTGTCATAGTCGAGTAGTAAAGTAGTAAATAACTATTACCTTTGTTTGCCTCCAGAATTCTTGAGAAAATATCCATATCATCATGCTTCTCAAGCAGGATATCTGAACAAATAACGGCAATATTAAACCATATTTTCTATATTTTTCTGTATTTTACTGGTCTAAATGAGTGGTTCTTAATCCTGGTACTGCATGGGGACCCAACCATTAAGTTAGTGACAGGTCATTCATGAACAATTTGCTCATTGTGTTTGTCTCATTATTGAACGACAGACTCTGAAGATAATCATTTATTTTCCTCATAAATTATCTTTGGCTGCATTATAGTGATTTAGTAATTTGGAATATGATCAAGATTGTGTAGGTGGACGTGTTTGGGGAATGCCACTCAAATGAATAAGAGAGATCTTCCCATAACTAGCATTTGTCGCCCGTATTTCTGACCATCACCAGATAGCTGCAAGAATCTCTTTTATCGGAGTTAAGCCCCACTGGTCTACCTGAGCTGAAGAACACATCAGGGATGAATAGAAACTCACCTTGATCAGTGGGCAGCACCTGTGGAAAGAGCAGATATACAGAGTGAGTGAGTGCGAGCGAATGAGTGAAGGATGCTCAACACTGAGAGCTGCAGCTCTTACTGTAGCAGGAAGAGCTTGAGAGAGACCTAGCAGCACAGCCGAGATGGAGAAAAGCAATACACAATCCATTTTCCCTCAGTGTGTTTCAAAACAATTTCTACCTGAGAGTGGAACTGTGAGAGAGCTGAGCTGAAGCCTTTCTTATATAGAAGATAACTGGGAGTGTCCAGCATTGGGGTTAAGGTTAAAATCAACACAGACCACTTGAAAAGATCTGAAAAGCCTCCAGCATAAGGTTACGTCAGCCTCACCCACTATAAATAAGACTGCATTTTTGTTTGTTTTAGAATTAGACTAAAACAGCAACATTAGACATGACAACGAAATGCCCATGTCGCTCAAACAGTCTAAATAAGTGGTAAGAGTTCATTACTAAAAGGTTTGGGGTCAGTCAGTTTTTTTTTTTTTAAGAAATAAATACTTTTATCCAAGGACGCATTAAATTGATAAAAAGTGACATAGAATCATCTAATTAATTATCAAAGAATTAAGAGAAAAAATATCCTGGTTTCCACAAAAATATTAAGAAGCACAACTGTTTTCCACATTGATAATAATAAGAAATGTTTCTTGAGCATCAAATTAGCATATTAGAATGATTTCTGAAGAATGTGACACTGAAGAGTAATGGCTGCTGAAAATTCAGCTTTACCATCACATATATTACATAAACATATTATTGACCATTGTTGTAATAATTTCAACAATATTACTGTTTTACTGTATTTTTGATCAAATAAATGCAGAACATTTGCAAACCATATGACTTTGTTCAAAAACATGAAAAATCAAAGCAGTGTAGTGTAATAATATAAATGATATAATAAAATCGGTAGCGTAATAATATAACATGTTTATCAGGAGTCAGTTAATGCTCATCGGAGTCTCTGAGAATTATTACTTCATTTACATTGCTCGCATTTACATATAAACGCTAGTTAATCTACACAGAATGTTTCAAAACCAATATGCAGATTATATACAGCTAAAATAATAGATACAGACACATTTACTAAACAGAAACTGTTTGTGTGCCATTCAATGTGTGCAACTTGCACAGTTATCTTTTATTTTTCAAGCAAAAGTTATAGTTCACACCATCAGTTAATACTGCTGCATAAAAGACTTTAAAAGACCATGTTGATAAATTGGTTTATAATGCATGTTCGTCATCTTTTTTAATTCATCTAGAAAAATAGGATTATTTTGATCATCTTTTACCTTAACGTGGCCTCTGAAATGAATACACGCTGCGCTTTTGTGGACAGAGAGAAACAGAACATGAAACAGGTGTGTCATTCAAAACGAACAATCAAACAAAAAACTTGCTTTATGAATGGCAGCTGAAACATCTTGAGATACTGTGAAGGAAACAAATGTAATCTGACTCAGAGGGTGAGGCTGCCATAATCCTGTGCTGAAAGCTTACCTTAAAACCCTGGGAAGTGCTGAAATAAGACTTCACTGCAAATAACTTTGTTAAAACTGTAGTCCCCATTCACTTTAACTACACATATTTTTTATTTAAATTTTTTTTTATTATTATTAAAAACGTGCACAAAACCTTTGTGCACAAAACCTCACTGAACTGTAGAGGAAACCATCAGTCCCACATTTAAACTCTATAAATATTGTCATTATGATGATGAAATTTGCAGAGGGAGAATTAAAGTGACTTTACTATTGTATTTTGACGAACAGCAACAGAAATGGGGCTGTTATAAAATTCCTCTTACCTGCAATAAATCCAAGAATAAACACAAACATGAAGTAGGCTATGCTATTAGGCTATCTGACATCATAAATATTTCAATCACCTAATGTTGCACCATGAAAATTACAAAATAATTTGACAACCTTGTGATAAACAAATGAAAATGTGTAACACCACGAGTTTTTCACTCGTTATTGCGTTATTCTTTGCATTTTGTGTTTCTCACTGATTATCTTGGCATCACTGCACACTGTTATCGCATTGTTGCTTCACTACAGGAGCTTAAACTGGGCCACATGCTCGGATGTCTCAACTTTCGTGGACGGAAACATATGACCTTGTGCTCGAGGACACTCTGTACAAAGACGTCACTAGTCGGCAGACTGGCACAATCCACTTATCGGCAGCATAATTACATCACCGCTAGATGGCGCTGCGGTGCGTCTGGTGCGTCCACTGTGATGCAATTACACCATTCGCTTTTTTTTTTTTTTTTTTTAAGTATTTCATTATAGGCCACTTTAATATATACTAAACGAATATGAAAAATGTTTTGTGTTGAATTCAAATCGAGATGGGTTTGTAATCACAAACAGATTATATTACAGTATACGCGTGCCATCATAAAGTTATGTAGCCTATTATAAATGACATTCTTTTATGACTCACTTCATACCTACAACCCTTGTTCCCATAAATAGACTACAACTGCAAAAGGTTATTTATTAATTACCTCAAGTAAGTTCCTCTCATGTTTAAAATAACCGGTTTTATCAGTATCTGTGGGAATTAAGCCAGCGCATTGTTTGCCTGAGATGAATTAGGCTAATGGTTTATTTGCAGTCCCCTAGTCTGATAGGACACATGAATTTGTGTGCGTTTCATTGGGAGTTTGCTAAAAAAGAGAAAGGTGTCGTGTATACGTTGTTTAACATGAGAATGATTCAGTGTCTTCTTACTGCATAGCCTTCACCTCCCAGCTGTTGTCTTTTTGAGGCTATTAGTGTTTGTGGAGTTGTTCCCACCTGTTTCTGGGGTCATGACCTCTATCAGCATTCCAGAGCACCGAGGTGTGACCTTTTGTGGTAGAGCCATAAACCAAATTTACACAAAAGCCTCCGTCGGAAAAGATCTCATGATGCTCTTTAAAAGTTGTAAAACATCTACCAAACCGTGACAGAACCGTTCAAATGAGGGCATGTGAGGAAACGTGCCGTAAAGGAACTCTGCGTGAAGGGCATTAGACAGAATGCAGCTCGGCTAAAATGCAGCGTAGGCTGCGTCGGGGATGACCTTGAATTCAAGGTCGCGTGCGTTCTCAATGACAACGGGAACACTAGCGCTTACTGTTTCTTTTTTAATCCTTTTTCATGCAGCATGCCCTTGCTTCCACACAAGCCCAGCACTCGTGCATGCATTTTGTTCTTATTAGTGTTCTTAGGAATGTCTGATTATTTTTTTATTTTTACAAAACGGACAGCAGGTTTCAGTCACGCTGTCTGACATGCATTCCTAAAATAGACCACTATAGCCTAATAATTTCCTTAACACGGGAATCTTTTCCGTTACAGCATTGCGCGGCTTTGAGACGCAACGCCTCTCTTTCTCTCAGCCCTGTGCTGTGATCAGGTTACACGGATTGTAGTCTCTCCTTTCCTCTCTCCGCAGTCACTGAACTCTGGGCCGCTGGCTCGCAGCCCAAAACTGTTGTATGAACCAGCTGACTACGGGAGGCCTAGAGCAGCGAGTTGGGTCAGTCAGTGTCACAAGACCGAGCAGACTGACATTTTCCATGCCATCTAAAGCGATGCTTGATTTACAGGCCCGCCGTTTAAGCTTCTCTGGGACAAAGGCATTCTGTCGCGTTACTACGGACTCGTTTTTTTTCTGAACGGGACGTTTTTGGACCACACAGTTTATAGTTTAGCTTATGTCATCAGCTGATAATATAACCGGCGCACTTCTAAAACAAGTAGTAGGCTAAAACAAAAGGCCACATGATGATATTAAAACGAGTTTTTCTACGAACAATGGGTAATAAACATACATTACAAAAGACTTCCAGATAGGCCTACACGTAACACTAAACATGAAATCAAATGTAACATTAAGCAGCCTGGTTTACATAACAGATAACAAAATAAGAAACATACCCAAAGGTGATGCGTCACGCAGAAACTTCTGGGAACGTCAGTTTACGTTTTTTCACTGTAAATTATAAGACTCTTTTTTACAGTATGTTTTTACTGTGCTTACTGTAAAAATACATGTCCCATTACATATAATTTGGCTCCACATATGGAAAAGTCCGTTAACCAATTCACAGGATTTATTGTAGAATTCGTTCATTTTAACATGAATTAGGCTATTATTATTTTCCCTTATACTCATGAACATTTTTACACTGCACGTGCACGTGAATGACTTAATAATTAAATAAGTTCATAAAGCTGTAAGAATAATTCAATTCACGGTTAGCATTAAATCGCACTTATCCTTGGAAAATGTGTCAAATGTTTTTACTGATTACGCAATACTGCGTAACAGTGAAATGCATCAACATTAGACGAGCGTTACAGTTCAGGACGAGATGCAACGTTTTTTCGCTACAGCTTTGAAAAACCCTGTGCGAAGGCCGAATTATTTTACGTAATCACGAATCATGGCAGTTATTAAATGGCTTTGTTTTACACCACGCGCGTAACGTTTACCCCTCACACAGTCCCCAAAATAGCTCGAGATGTAAGAAATCTGAATAAAGGCTTCTGATAATAACTCAAAAGTGTGTAAACTCGTGAGTCACACATACTGTAGGTCAATTTCTCTTTATTGTTTAAAGCTCTGCTGCCTCTTGTGACGGAGGCGCAAGGACTCGTGAGCGGACGTAACGGAGAAACAGTCGACGCAAGAGCAGAGAGGGAGGAGAAAGAACGAGGATATACGTAACCGGGATCTCAGCTGTATTAGCGGAAGACAGGATCCAGGCTTCCAGTGACAACCGAAACAGCAATATGGGGAACTAGTCCAGGGAAGAGCGAATCAAACACGGATTAAACATACTTGTTTGCTCAACCGACTGCACTCGCGCCGCCATTCATTCAAAATATCGAGTAGTTGCATTGATTTTATGTCTAAAAATGATGGCGTATCGTACTTAATACTGCACCAGAATTGCTAAGGTAGTATTTAACAAATAGGCAGAG